CCAGCAGCAGTGTGAAACATGGGTTAGAAAAGGCCACAGATTGTGGACAGTGGGAGGAGTCAGGTGTGAGCAAACCATTGAACAATTCTGAACATGAGATAATGAAAGAACCACAGCAATAAGACAGTGCAATACAGAGAAGTAGATAGAGTTCTGAGAAATACTTAAGAGGATTTAGCAATTAATAAAAGATGAGAAATGATAAAGAAGAAATTTATTATGGCTACAAGTTTCCAACTTCACTGAAGGCTGGCAGAATCAAATTTTAGTCTCCTACAAAACTCCTAAGACTCTAGGTCAAAATGTTCTTTCTAACTTTAGAATTGTACATCCAGGCTTTAGTTTCTATTTCAAGGTCTGATTATCTTAAAAGGTGTGGTTACCTTCAATATACGGACCTAGCATAAACACTAAAACATAATCACACCTCAGAATAGGGTGGGGTAGGGGAAGGAGAGAAGAAACAGAATTACTTAAGAAACAGCTAAGGGATATACAGCATTAGTAGGCACATTAACTTTTCCTGGCTTTATACAAAGTTTTCACTCTCCCAGAATGGAAACTCGGTAGAATTGAGGATCACAGCTAAGTCCAAATGTGTGTCAGCCAACTGGGAAGATCATGGTTAATACGGCTTCAGAGGAAATGAAAATCTTCAAATCTATAACTACAAAGACAAAACATCACATGAGCAATGACACCAGGGAAGGGAAATTCAGACTAATCTAGCCATTAAGGGGCATTCTCATACACATGATATAAAGACTGCACTGGGGCCCAGTGCAGTAGCCTAGCAACTAAAGTCCTCACCGTGTTTGCAATGAGATCCCATATGGGCGCTGGTTCTAATCCTGGTGGCCCTGCCTCCTACTCAGCTCCTTGCTTGTGGCCTGGAAAAGCAGCTGTCGGCAGCCTAAAGCCTTGGGACCCTGCACCTGCATGAGAGACCTGGAAGAAGTTCCTGGCTCCTGGCTTCAGATCAGCTTAGCTCCAACCCTTGTAGCCTCTTGGGGAGTGAATCAGCAGACAGAGATCATTGTCTCTCTGTCTCTCTTCCTTTCTGTACATCTGACTTTCCAACAAAAATAAACACTTAAAAACAAAAAGACTGTGCTAAGTACTAGTCACAAAATAAAATATCACAATAGATTTCAACATAATCACTATTCATTTGCTGATATCTTTCTAACAGATATGAATTATTAGAAATTGTATTAAATATGTAATTTTATTGTATGGATCCCATCGTATTCATATATGCAGAGCACTTACAGCTTTCAATAAATCTCAGGCTATATTACATACTGTCCTCAAGCAAGATATGTTTTCCTAGAATACATAGCCCTATAATAAAAAACACATGATAGATGTGACAAAACACACCAAAATAATTGCAATAAAAGCCCAGGAAAAATATCACATTTGTGATTGACGATAAGAAGCATTCTTTGAAAGAAATATTCCCAAATCGAAGCCAAAACATTTACGTGGGGTTTTTGATGGGACAGAGATGGAAGAGGAGTTTATGTGAAGCAAAATTAATGGCATGAGTCAAGTTATGGACTGATAAAGCAACAAAAATATCCATAAGTCAGTAAATATGTGTACAGAACACTAGTTCTATGAAGGGCTTCATGGTTAATAAATTTGAGTAATATATCATACTCCTGTTTAGAATCTAAAAGCTAAGAGCACAACAAAAAAGTTCTTGAGAAAACTTCAATAAACATTAATTTTATAAGGAAAAAGTATGCAAAGCTTCTCAGATTCACTTTACCAGACAATGACTCTTCAACTCATAAAACCACCTGTTTTTTCTTATGGCACTGCTATTGCTTAGGATACATTTGGGGATTCTAGCACCACATGACTATCGTCCAATGCTCAGGGCAGAATGTAGTGAGAAAGCCAGTAAAAGAGATGAAAGCCTAACCTTGAAAGAATCTGACAGATTATGGGGAGCCAGGGCTGCTTAAGCAAAAGAACAATAGAGGTAAAGGTGGGCTGTAAGCAGAAAAAATGAAATTTATGTAAGGAATATATCAACCAGGGGAAACTATAAACAGAGATAGTGCTTAAAAGTATGGAGCTGTTTCAAAAAGAAATAATAAGGTATCTAAAGCCACAGAGAAAACAACAGAACATATATTCAGGGGTCATAAACAAGATCAATAAATCTGAATTTTGAGGTACTAGAAAATGCATCAGTGAATCTAAAATTTGTGTTACTTCCTCTACTTATAATGAAAAACTCCATGTCTTTGCAGAAGTTGGAAAGTCAGTTAAAAATGTTAAGTTGAGGAAAAATGCAAAGATATAATGAACAGACATGCTACACATGTGATGATCTCAGGGTACTGGACAGAAGTCACAGCAGGCAGAGGGATCCAACAGATCCCCATTCCAAAGAAGAACCACTTACCTTTTCCCATCAGACCTCATAAAGAAGGAAAAAACTCTTCTCCTTTCTTAACCAAGTAATAACAATGCAAAAGAGGTGGTTAAGATAGAATCAGAGCTATTCATTAACACCTGTTAACTACACAAAGCTAGAGGAAAATCAAAATCATATGTACAGTAAAGCACATTTTAAAATCTATATTCTAATTCATTTGAGATATATAAAATTGATGAGGCAGGCAGCAGAGTTTGTAAAAAGTATGTATATGTAGCTGAAGAAATGTAATTCTTAAAAAAATCTAAAGACACTTTAAAACTGTCAGTTGTGGGAAAAGTGAATTCTAAAAATGTATGAAAAGACAGACTATAAATGCCACTATTACGCCACAGGAATGAAGTATGGTCCACTGATTACATCAGCACTGAGCTAGGTCCACTTTAAAACAAGTCATCAAAATAAAGTAAGCATAACTAATACATTTGCTATGTCGATCCTATATTAATTTCTAAATGCTTATTCATTTTTCTTCTTTTACTTATTTGAAAGAGCAACAAAGAGAGAAAGAAAGAAACAGAGAAGGAAGACAAAACAGACAGGGACACGGTCCGCCTTCTGGTTCACTCCCCACAAGCCCACAACAGCCAGGGCCCAGCCGGGCCAGAAGCCTGCAGCTAGGAAATCTATCTAGGTTTCCCACAAGGGTGGCAGGGGTTCAAGTACTTGAGCCATCACCTGCTGCTCCTAGTCACATTAGCAGGAAGCCACATCAGGAGCAAAGGAGCTGGGAATTCTGACTCCAGCCTGGTCTACATTCCCTAATCCAGCCAGTGCAGTCATTTGGTGAACGTACTAGTACATGGAAGACACCTACCCATTTCCCCCCTGCCCTGTGTGTGTGTGTTCTTCTATTTTTAAGATTTATTTATGTATTTCAAAGAGTTATACAGAAATGAAGACACACACACAGATATCTGTCTTACTTCAGACAACGTGCTGTGCAAGTCCTTTATGCCTCAGCTCCCACATCTGTAGAATGGAAAGAATGAAGGGCCCAATTCCCTGGGGGTGGTGTGAGAATCGAAACATTCCGCTTACATGCTTAGAAAAGAGCCTGGACCATAGAGCACACTCAGTAAGCATTAACACTTCCTCTATCATATACTGTTTCTGTTTCCTGCTGACAAATTTGACATAAATCAAGCTGGAAGTTCTACAAAGCAGAGACAGTGGCAAAAACCCACAGGATGGGGCTTTGACATACGACCCTCCACAGAGATCAAATCTAGCTTCCTGAGTGGCCTAGGAATTATTAACCAGCATGTCACAACAGAAGTGGAAAGCTTATGCATCAAGGTAACCTGGAAAACAGTCAATTTACTAATATCCTAAAGCCATAATCTCAAAAAATCTGTTTCCCAAACTACGTACATCCAAAACTAGATTAAAAATTTACATTCCTAACAAGGTAGGCACGATTGCTAACACATGCTAAGTAAAGCTCAATTTCCAAGGAATGATGGAGGTACTATAAATCCACACAGATTACTTAAACAGAATAATCTGACTTTTTGAACCAAGAATTAGTCTTTGAGGTGCAGCAAGAGAACTATGTTTGAGGTAAGGTATATCATCTGCCATGGATTCTGGCCACAGGCATTGTCCCCAAAAACTGCAATTTGGGCAAAGAACTACAGGTCACACACATGGTTTGTAAGCCCTACTAGTAACTACAGAGCCATCAGCAGCACCTTGGAAGCCAACTGGCAACAATACTTAAGCATTTTCACTCGCCTATATAGTTAAGAACTAGTATTTTGCAGAGCTGAAGAATGGGCAGCTTAAAATATTTCCCAATTGATCTTATCAAGAAAACAATGATCTCAACTAACTCATCAGAGACGAAGGGAAAAGCGTTTCTGGAAAGCCTCAATACTCAAAAATTCAAGCCATAATAATGATGCTGCAGTAGCTGAACTACATGCAACTAAACTGCAAAACTGCAGGAGCCAGACTGTAAAACAAGCTGACATCTGCACAAGCGAACTTCTGACACACATGAGATAAAGGTGTGGTCACTGTTGGTTCCACCATCACAAAGAGGAACTTGACCCAAAGGAAAACAGAAATCTTGATCTCTCTTGTACATCACGTACATGTAATTACGGCCACATCAGTATGGCACGTCACAAGCGAAGTTCATTTCTGGGATTTTAAAGGAGCTTCTGCTCCAACTTTAAGACCAAAATGCAAATATCTTAAGTACCCCGAAATACTTATTGCATATACATTTAAATCCAAGGAGAAAAAAACTGAATGGTATTTGAAAGTTGGGGCAAACTGAGCATAAAGTAAAACCCACTCCCTAGGTTTACAATGGATCTTTTCTTGGAACCTACTTCCATTGTATTCAAAGGTCCTTCCACGGTTCCTGCGGGAAATCGGTGAAACTCTAATGAATGACCGAGGAGGGTATATATAGATACACAACCAGGATGGGTTTAACACGTAGAAACATGACTGAAGAGAAACCAAGATGAGAACCCTGGCCTCACAGTTGACCCCAAATCCGTGAACATGACAACTAACGAATACAACTCACCTCGCAGCTCAGAGGCATAGCAAAAGCGGTGGCTGGTTTTTGCGCTGCCTTTGGATTCTGCATCTGTTTTAAACCTAAAACCTAGCTATTCTAGCAGCTTCCCCCTGAAAAACGCCAGACACACAACGAAAACTACCGCGATGTAAATGCACCTGGTGTTTTCTACCAGAGGTTACATAAATGTTGCCAGGTGGGGCTTTTTTTTTTTTTTTGTCTTCCTTCAAACACGGGAACAGCATTAAGTTAAACCCTCTTGCTTGGGAGGGCCTTGGAGTCAACCTGCTTGTGCCCAAAATTAAAAATAAAAAGCTCCAACCTCACTTCTCTCGGAAAACACTCTAACTGGATCCATGCTCCAAGCCTGGAGGAAAGCAGGATGGCTTTCAAACACCACACTCTCCTTCCTCCTCCTCCTCCAGCCCGATTCCGGGCCGCGGGCGAACTAGGACTCTGACACGGCGGCCGTGGCTTTCGCACCGCACCAGCCCCAAACCACGGAACGGGAAGAGCGGCTGCAGGAGTCCGGAGCCCGACACGGACGTCCCCAGCGTCGGCTCGTGACGTCACCGCGCAGACGTGAACGGCCGTGCGGCGTGCGGCCACCCAGGCTCCGCCTCCCTCCGCCGCGCCGGCTTCCATTGGGCCATGGGAAGCAGTGGGCGGGCTGGGGCAGGGTCACGTGGCGGAGGCGGAGCCGAGCCCGGCAGCGGGCTCTGAGGGCGGTGCCTAGGGAGCGGCCTTCTCCGGGCCATTGGCTCACGTCGCTCACGCTCCCCCGTGTGCCCGACGGGTGACCTAGCGGAAGGACGGGCTGCCGACGGCGCGCGCCCTCTCCAGGGCCCTCGCCGAGCTTCAGTGCCGCCCGGCCGCGTCGGCCTCCCGAAGCGTCGGCGGAGAGACCGGCACCCAGAACACCAGAACGCCCAGTCCTGCCCGGTGCGTGTAGGTCGCGGGCAGGGGACGCGGCCGTGTCACTGTGCCTCGTGTGTCGTCGCCGGTTGCAAACAAAATTCAGTCATCACGCCTTTTTTCACAGAGAACGCTTGCAGATTCATGATTTTGCAGAAAATACGTCATTTGAGTTTCCACACGGACGGAATTGTGTTTATATCCGTTAGCCTCACATGATCGAGCTCCTATCCCATCAGAATTCCGATAGTCCTGACCCTGTATGGCCAAGGTTCTACTTACAAGTCGGGGTGGGTAGACAGATGGTCTAGGAAGGCCTGGCGAGCCAGGACAGACTACTAGATAGTTTGAATGTCACCACTGGGTGGCAGCAGTAACACCTTGGATTCCTTAATGTCTCGGGTATATTTAGTATTTAGTGACTATATAGTGACATAAATAGTGAGCGCTTCTTGTATACTTAATGTCTGTCGTACGTTAGGTATATCTTGGTCTTTCCATCCGTTTCTGTGCATATTCGCATGTCCCGCAGACTTCAGTCAACAGTTAGTGACTTAGGTGTGTGTTTCACACTTGTGTTTGGCCCATCTTTATTATTTCTTGGGCAGAATCAAATATTCACAAGGCGATACACTCCTAACCTTCCAAGTTGATGATGATGCAGATGCTTACAGGTGCTGCCAAGCTTCTTCCGACTTGGTACATTACTTTTAATAGAGTGGAATTTGCCCAACTATTGTCATATTAAAGCATGATTTTCTATGCCCTGGGACACTAATGAGCAAGTTTCTCAGGCCTTTCACAGGATATTAGAAACCAAGCAAAAACATTTCTAAACAAAGAAATGTACACAACAGATTTGCACATATGATATTTTCTTTTGGAAAGAGGAATATAAATTTGGAAAACCATAAACTAATCACACCGTGTTAGCAAGTTTTATTAGCTTTCTATGAAGCTTAAAAGATTATTTTGCAGTATTATCTTAATACTTTGTGAGAGGTTATTCCAAGAATCTCTTTGAAATGGAAAAGGAATGTTTGTGTATTTGGTTTTCCATAATATCATTTAAATTTACATTATGTACTATCATATCCCTTTATGGGAACTAGCATGTTTTGCTACTCATATTTTCTGGCATACATAACCCAGAAGTTATCAGTCTTCACTTTGCATTAGAACTCTCTAGGGAGGCTTCATTTCCTGAAACTGTTTTCCTTATTCCGAGGTTGAGCCTGAGCATCCCTCTGTTTCGTTCGTCCTAGCTGGGGTGTGGAGCTGAATCAGAAACACTGCATTAGACATGGCGTGACTTCTTTAAATAATGTGCTGCATGATCCCTTAGAGCTAAAGCAATGGATTCCATCTGGAGAACAGCTTTGTTTGTGATTCCTACCATATTTTTTGTTAGAGAAGCTGGTGGTGTTAAGATTCCTCTTCATCAGACTTGGTACAAGGAAGCATAACCTCCAAGCAACAAAACCCACCAACTCTAAGTAAAGGGGAAAATAACCACATTGAGAAGACTTCACCTCATCCCGCTGGATTTTGGATGCCGTATGCAAACTAGTCCTGGTGGGGTACCCTGGCAAATACACAGAAGTAGGTGATAGGCATTACCTGGGAGTGGCATGGCATAAACCTACCTCTGTGCCACTCTGGGGGTGGTATATGGTTAGGTGCTATTTTTTAGACCTAGCAAAAGAAATCAAAACATGGGACTCATTTCAGTTTCCCCAAGATTCTTACCTATGAACCCAGGCAGGCTGATTCTGTCTTTGAAGAAGGAAAGGAGAAAGAAGAAAAAAATTTTAACATACATAACAACTTTTTAAAAAGATTTATCTATTTTTATCAGAAAGGCAGATATACAGAGAGGAGATACAGAGAGAAAGATCTTCTGTCCAATGATTCATTCCCCAAGTGAGTGCAACGGCTGGTGCTGTGCCTATCCAAAGCCAGGAGCCAGGAACTTCCTTGGGTCTCCCACGCAGGTGCAGGGTCCCAAGGCTTTGGGCCATCCTAGACTGTTTCCCAGGCCACAAGCAGGGAGCTGCTGGGATTAGAACCAGCTCCCATATGGTATCCCAGTGCATTCAAGGCAAAGACTAGCTGCTAGGCCATTCTGCCGGGCCCAAGATATATTTATATAAAGTTATACATAAAACCTGTGAAAAGGTTATATAAAATCTGCTTTATAGATTATAGACTGTTTTAAATTTTAAATTTTTCCCAGGCCACAGGCAGGGAGCTGAATAGGAAGCAAGGCTACTGGGATTAGAATCTGCGCCCGTATGGGATCCTGGCACGTTCAAGGTGAGGACTTTAGCCACTAGGCCACTGACCTGGGTGCTGTCTTAATGTTTTCAAATGGAATTATAGTATATAATTATTTGGAACTTGCATTATTTATTTAAAAGACAGAATGCGAATGAGAGACAGAGGTTTCCCATCTGCTAGTTCACTTCCCAAATGCCTGTTGACAGCAGGTACTGTGTCAGGCTACGGTCAGGAGCTGGAACTCAATCCTGAGACCCAGCTACTTGAACCATCATCCGCTGCCTCCCAAGGTGTGCATTAGCAGGAATCTGGAATCAACAACTAGAGCTGAACTCTGAACTCAAACCCAGGTGCTTAGATATAGGATGAAGGCATCTCCCACAGCATCCTAAATGCTAAGCCACAGGCCTGTAATAGCAACCTATCCTTTTTAAAAATTTATGTTATCATAAACATTTCACCAGAGAACACTCAATCTTGCCAACAATATTAATTTTCTAAGAGATGAATGTACTCAAAAATCTATTCAACAGTAGCCACTCAGTAGTTAGTGTTTCCAATGATATTATTTCTGTGTGATTCCTAAAATTAAATTTGCTGGGGCCGGTGCAGTGACTCATCTGGTTGGTCCTCAGCCTTCAGTGCTGGCATCCCATAAGGGTACTGGTTTGAGTCCCAGCTGCTCCACTTCCTATCTACTTCCCTGCGGAGAGCAGTGGAGACTAGTTAAAGTTCTTGGGACCCTGCACTTATATGAGAGACTCAGAGGAAGTTCCTGGTTCCTAACTTTGGACTGGCCACGCCCTGGCTTCTTCAGGAATTAGGGAGAGAACCAGTAGGTGGACGATTTCTCTCTCTAGCTCTTTCAAGTAAAATAAATAAATCTTTAAAAAAAAGTAAATTTTCTGAAACACAATTATACATTTTTTTTTTCCAATTTGGACAAACGTTCCTGTAATTGGGTTATATACAGCTAGGTTAACAAACCACCCTATAATGTAATGGTCTACACCAATTGTAACTTCTTGTCTCACACAGTTTTTTAGCCAGAGAATCAGGTAGCATTCTCCTTTGTGGTTCTTCTGTTCCACATAGTTTCAACCGTGTAAATTATAAGGGGAAAACAGTTGAGGACAGCCCAAAGCCTTGGAACCCTGCACCCACGTGGGAGGCACGGTAGAGGCTCCTGACTCCTGGCTTCAGATCAGCTAGTCCGTTTGCTTGCCATATTATAATATGCTTACCATATTATACTACTGTTATTAATAATGTCTGAATGAATTTTCAATTTTTCTTGCTGAAAAGCATATAACATTATAACCATCTTTAATATCCAAGTTTTATTATAATGACTAAAAATTTGGTGTTGTTATTTCTTTTCAAAATGGAATATTGTTGAGGATGTGATTGGTTGAAGTAACTCAGAAACTATCAAGGCTCTCTGAGCTTAGGCATGAACATTTTGTAGGACAGAATTACATGCAATTGGAAGACTGTGTGGCACATGAAGGGCCTCAACTACAACCTGAGATAAGTTCACATTGTCTACTGGGAAAAGGACAAGAAAAGGACATCTTTCCCTGAAGTTGGTGGGCTCAGGAGGAAATTCTACACTGGAACTACCTACTATTTCGCAAAGAAAACATCCTTTCTTTCATTCCATTTTCTGTATGAAAGATATGCATAAAAAGTTCTTTTTCTTTTTTTAAAGATTTACTTATTTTTATTATAAAATCAGATATACCAAGAGGAGAACACACAGAGACGCAGATATTCCATGCAATGATTCACTCTCTAGGTAGCTGCAATGGCCAGAGCTGAGCCAGGATCCCATACGGGCGCAGATTCTAATCCCAGTAGCCTTGCTTCCTATTCAGCTCCCTGCCTGTGGCCTGGGAAACAGTCTAGGATGGTCCAAAGTCTTGGGATCCTGCACCCACATGGGAAACCTGGCAAGAAGTTCCTGGCTCCTAGCTCTGGAGCAGCACAGCCCAGGCCATTGCATTCACTTGGGGAGTGAATCATTGGACGGAAGATCTTTCTCTCTGTATATCTGACTTTCCAATAAACATAAATACATCTTTAAAAAATATTAGGACTAATATATATTGAAGGTCTATACTATTGTTATAATGTAGAGAAAAACACGGGTGTGGCGGGAAATGGGGAGAGAGTAGAAACAGAAATCCCTGAGACTAATGAAATGCATCATGAAAGTGAAAGTTAAAAAAAATAAAGGGATGAAAGGAAAAACAAAACCAAATCAAAAAAACCAATATATAAATGCTTATGTATGCTCTTATAATATTAAAATTGTTAATATTAGTTTTGTAGAGGTGT